TGCCTTTAAGACCGACTCTGAAGAGTGGAAGTTTTGTTTGGGTTTCTCTTATCAGGGACACAGAGACGAGCAGTACATAGGGCTGTTTTTCACTTCTTGCTTTCAGCTTGCTGCTTTGCTTGCTCTCTTTTCTGCTCTCGCTTCTGCTCTGCTTTGGCCTCTGCTTATTAGCTAGGTCTAGCTAAACAGTCCACATCCCTTCCTGGACTGTTTCTCCTCTCCTGTTCCTGTGACCATCTCCAACCTGCTCCAGACTGGGACCCGGGAACACCGAGGTTTGGCTGCAGCAGCTGCCCAGCGCCGGAGGGACTGAGAACAGAGCAACCACCCCCAAAAGAGACTTTCTGATTTTGTCATCTTTCTCAGAGCGGTGTCAGCTGGTATTGTTCATTTTGTGTGCGGGGGGGAGGGGGGGGTGCTGTGCCAGTCAAATAAACAGGTTCTTTCCACCTCTCTCCAAGGAATTTTTTCCCGAACCGGTTGGGGAGAGGGGCCGTGTGGGTTTTGCTTTCTGGAGAGGCCCTCCTTTGCAGATTCTTTAACAAATTTGCCCTAAACCAGGACAAAGAAGTATGTGTACATTTACACATACTTAAATACAATATTCAAATCAGAACAGAAGGGGCTTTATCAGTCAGATTATATGGAGACAACTTGAAGTGAATGGAGTGTAAGTGCTGAGTTAAAACAGTGAGGAGCCCTTTGGTAAATTTGTTTTTAAGGAGGGAGAATGTTGATTGTTAGCTGTCTGTTGAGAGATCACAGGATTAAAAAAACTGCAGTGCAAACACTGCCAGAACACCACAGAAACTGATTACTGGCATAATGCTGAACTAATTTCTTTACATCTCTATTTAAAATTATGCTATTAAAGTATTGATGCACAAAACCTGTAAGTTATGTTGCAGTTGTGATTAAAGCAAGACGAGGTTGCTCCTGTGTTGCAGTGTGATGTAATAGCCTGTCCATCCGAGTTCTTTCCCCAGGTGTGCCAATAACCCCTCCCTTCCCCTTGCTGAGTGCTGTCTGTCAATCTTGGCAGTCCAGAAAGGGCGTCGTGTGATTGGCGATTGGCGAAGTTCAAAAGATGCTTCTCAGCCCTGGGCACATTGGGCCATCCAGGTGTCATTTGTCCCCTGAGACTTCCCCCCCCTTACCTGGTTGGTGGGATCCCTACCCCTTCCCTCCCCCTCTCCCTGGGGTTAAAAGACACAGCAAGCACGCAGGTTGTTTTTGTTCTGTTGGAGCTGTTGCTGGATTCAGAGGCCTGTGTGCCTGGAATAAAGCTCTGGATCGAAACCCTCCAGCAGAACCCGACTCTTTTTCCTTCACCTTGCCTAAAAGCCTTTCCACCAGAGGTAAACCTGAGCTCCTGCATGCCTGGACTTGTCCCAAGCACCCAGCTGCAATATCCAGCTAGCCAAAGGTGTCTCTGAGGTGAAAACACCACAGCTGCTGCCTTTGGTCAAGCAGCAAGAGCCAGACGAGCCCAGGCACGTTCCATCCGGCTATACTGGTATTTAATTCCAATACTCCTGCAAATACAACCCTGAATTTAAATGAATGTAGTCTGAATTGTCAAAATATTGGGGGTTGGGTTTTCCTTTGCTTTCCTTGTTACTTGTGGATTTTTTTCCCATTGAGTTGCTGAGAAATACTGATGACTGGGTGCTTGAGATGTCAGGAGTGGAACGCCTCTGGTTTTTGGAAGTTTTCTCGGGGGTGGGGGGAGGAGGCGGGACTGGACCACAGAGATACCAAGAGAATAGAGGCAGGTAAATGATGAGGGCTGGGGAGTTGGGGATTCTCTCTCTTGCTCTTTGGCATCGGAGGAGGACAGCCAGGCTGTTGCTTACTGCGGGGAGAATTCACCGGCACTGCTGGAGCTCAGTCCTGAGGGACCTATCACCATATACTCCTGTGCCCTGGGAAATCCTGAACTTCATCTCTCCCTGCTCTTCTCAGCGCCAGGCTGTCGCTGCCCCACCCCTGCTGTTTCTTTGGTACTGCTCTGGGTTTCTCCACGCTGTAGCCTGTGCCATCCTGAAGTTCCAGCTATCGCCGCTGACCTTCTGATACATCTCGTCCACCACCCCGGAATTTTTGCTCATTCCTGCCGGCTGTGACAGTAACTGCACCAAAGGGGAAAGTGCCGGCAGCTGAGAAGGCTGTTTCTGGATCCCTGGTTCTGTTTGTTGTTAATGCCATAGTTGTTGTTCTTTTGTTTGCCTTTGTTATAAATGAATTAGCCAATTTGATTAATGAGGAGAATTTGTTCCATAATTAAAATACAATTGAAAAAAGGCCACAAGCAAAGATCAGATGGTGCTGAAGTAGGCTAACAGCGTTTGGTGAGATGGGGGGGGGCTACTATGGCTCCTCTCCACTGTGCATCATGAAGAGACAGCTCTCACAAAGTCTTTTTTATATATTTCCAAGCTCCGAGGGTGGCCGGGGAGGGTTTCTTGCTTTTTTATCGTTGATCTTATCCTTTTAGCATATTTATGTAGTGTTTCCTTTCTTGCTGCCACTCCTGCTGAGAGTTTCCCGAAACTGGTAAATAATTCGCCTTGTTAGAGGAAAATCTCCTGCAATATACATTCTAGGAGACACATATTTATCTTATCGATGATGCATATCGCTGGGATTTGGTCAGACGAATAATCCTCTGGAATCAACATTTCTGGAGACTAATATTCAGGCTAGGATTTTGGTGCATATCGCTGTAATCCCATCAGAGGGAATTTCTTGGAACCCTCCTTTGGTGTATGTTAGGATTTTCATCAGGCGAGATTACTGTAGCCTCAGCACGAATTTATACATATCATCTATTATACCTTGTTTTACATACTAGTAAAGAACTGGTATCCCTATCCTCATATCTTTTCCTGAGAGCCCCTTAATTTCAAAATTATAATAATTCGGAGGGAGGGGGTTTACACTCTCCATTCCAAGGGAGGCGCCTGCCTTCCTTAGCAGACACCTGTCTTTCAAACCAAAACACAAAATAGACTAGGAGACACTGTAAAATCCATCATTCTTGTTAAAATTTCTGTGCTTCATCATTATGTCAAAAAGGTTTCTTATACAACAGGCCTGGGCAAAGCCAGAGCATTACTTATATTTTATGCTATGTGTGTAAATGCACAGGTATGGCAAAGTGGTTCATTTTGTTTATTTACCACGCTTATAAGCTTGGTAGACAAAATAGTTTATAGCTTTTTGCTCAACACATGTTGGCTAGAATTGAGGATGGTGGTAGAAGTTCAGACCAGCAGTCAAGTGTTCATGTTATCACAAGAACTATTCAGGTCTAGGATCATCTTCTGAAGAGAGTTCAGTAGAGATATAATTACAGCAAACAGTGATATGTGAGCTGGAAATCTGTGGGTAGAAGAGGCTGAGTTTTAGCTTTGAGACAGCTGCAAAGCAACTGTTGCTATTTTGTCAACTTCTGCCAGTGTAGTGCAAAGCTAGGGTTGTTGAACAGAACCAGTTATAAAATTCTGAGGAAGTGTGTTGTGGAACACATTGTAGGGGAGTTAACAGCATTGAAATAATGAACTTCCCTCTTTGGGAAAGGATTTGAGACTAAATGGAATTCTATTTCCTGTGATTTAAGTTGTTCTATTGGATCACTTTATTTTAGCACAGACATTTGGGGCTAAGATAAACAATGTTTTTTAGAGTGCTGAAAGTGCACAGACCCTAGCTGCTTTCTTTTTTTAGAAAATGTGAAATCACCGACAACTTTGGAAATTCATCTTCTCTCTAGCTTAATTTTTATGCCTTTTCAGTTCCTCTGTTTATAGAAATAGATTTCCTTAAAACGAAGGGTTGCAGTGCCAACAGTAAAAATTAAGGGGCTGGGTTTGTGTCTGACTAATCTGCTGCCTTTGAATCTTAATCTTGCTTTGACTTTGGGATAGCTAAAATTACTAGGAAAAACTGTTTTAGCAACAGTAGTCTTGGCAGTCAAGTTTGGGAAAATTCCCATGCCTGGAGCAGGTATAGTGAAAAAAACCAAGATTTTTCAGGCACAGTATGTCTGATACTGATTTTTTTTACTTTGGAGATGAAAAGGAAAGTTTTTGAACAACAGGTCTCTGAAACAACAGTATATGGGAGAGTGAATGAAACTTTTTTGATTGTCAGCCCTTCAGTTTTACTGAGACTTGAGAGATGGTGTTTAATTAAGGGCTTCTAGTGTGAAAAATTATAGGTAAGTTTATATTGAAGACAATGGAAACACAATTTTTACTTTGGTTGTTTTTGTGAGGATGTTGCAGTGCAAAACACATGTAGAAATGTAAGATTACAGAAAATTGGAGATAAAAGTTTACTGTTCCTTTGAGATATCATCAGTTAGCACATTATAACCACACACTGTGTTTTGACAGTGTTTCTGACATCTAGCAGTTTCCTTATACATTTGTCTTGTCATTTGCTCCAAAAAAGCCAGACCTTATGATCATCATAGCATTGTGCTGTTTGACCATGCTAATAGTGCAGAGTCAAGGGTTTCTAGTTTGTATTTCTCAGTAATTGTCTACAAAATTCAAACCCAGTTATGCATGCAGACTCTTTAAAGGTTGTGATGCAGCTGCACATAGCTATCTGTGACATGAACACCACATTGGTTGGACAATCTTCAGTTTAGAATTTATTTTTAGATGTAAAGCTCTTGGTGAGGTACTTGAAGCATACTTGAAGCAAATGCTGAAGCTCTTTTTCTCCAGAGCAGAATATTCTCAACGTATTATGGACAAGCATCTAATTATTGGTGTGTCTTACAGATGTGGAGTGTTTTGGAGTTTTTGTTGTTTTTTTTTTTTTCCTTCAAAGACTGTCTGAAACAAGTTTAGTAGCAGTTATGGTAATGGTTGTGGATTTTTATCTTTCTGTCTATGAGATATAGATGGAAACAGATTTGATCATATTATGGAGAACCTTATGGTAGCTAAAGCTGCTTTCTGACTTCCCTATTATTTATTTTCTAGGCGGCAAACAGTAACAAGCACTCCTTGCTGGATTGAACTTCATCTGAATGGACCTCTACAATGGTTGGACAAAGTATTGACTCAGATGGGCTCCCCTTCAGTACGCTGCTCCAGCATGTCGTAAAACTCCTTCCTCTGTTACCAGTGGGCTAAATATCAAGGCTAATCAACAAACAATATAAAACCTCGTTTGTCGTAGTATTTGTGTGTGGTCCCCATGAACTGTTTACTATCTAAAAAGGTTTTTAAAAAAGAAAAAAAAAGAAAAACAGCACTTGAGGTCTCAGCAATTAAAGCACCTTGTGGATTCTGTTTCCTATACTCTGCTACTAGATGAAAATTTAGTGTATAGAAATGCCTTCTTCAGAAAGAAGATGGGACTGTTCTCAAGACTCTTAATGGTGTTTTTATTGGGTATATAATTGAGTGTCCTAATGGTTTATCAATAACATGAATAACTAAGTATATGTACAGGTAATGCATCATGATCTCAAATATCGCAGTATTCTGCTGTTCTACATTTTAGTTCCCATACATAGTTGCTTGGGGTTTTTTGATTTGGGTAAATCTCTTAAAATTCCAAGACTATGCCCTTATTCTTTTATACTTTTTTAAATAAGCAGATTTTTGAGTTGTCCTAAATATAAAAAGCTCAACTTTTTGCTGCCTTCTTAAAGAAAAAGAAAATCCCTCAATTGGAAAGGAAAGAAATGTCTTGAGATTCATCTGTGAAGTTTTAAGACACTATATACTTAACAGAGCCTAAATCAATTAATATTATAAATTCCAAGTATCTATGACACTGAGAATCTACTTTTCCCTACCCATCTGAGTCGATGAATCTGATGCCAGCATTATTGCTGGCAATGGTGTAATTTCAGATGTTTTTGTTTATCTTGAATCATTGAAGTCAGTGGTTTTTTTCTCATGGAATGAGAATTTATCATAGCATTGGATACTGGATTAAGTACACAAGGTTACTGGCTTACCCCTTACATCTGTATTTTTCATTGAACAAATGTCACTAAAAATCATGGGTTTTAGTTTTTAGAGCTAAATACCTTGAAAAACTCTTTCCCAAGGTAAACTACTCTTTCATATAGGTTTTAAATAGATGCATCTTCTTAATATATTTCAGTAACAGATTTTAAATTTCTGATCTGTGTGGCTTTGTATAGCTTACTTGTATACCAGATCATACACATTCATTATGTCCTAATGGGTCGTGTTATTAAAAGTAGTTGCTTTTGCAAAACCTCTAGGATAGTGGTTGCTGAGGTATGACTAGCAAAGGAGGACTTCTAGGTTCTTTGTGACAGTGCATGTTATTGTGAACCCTTGGACACTACAGCTGCACCATAATAATATTCTGAAATATATTCTACAAATAAGTCTGGGTTGGGGATGGGTTGGGAAGCTATATAGAAGGGTTATTCTGACTTGAAAAATATATATCTTACTAACGAACTTTGTGATCTAGCTGTCTGTCATTCTTTGGTTATTGTGGCAGTAGCGGGATTGTCTTTGTCTCTTTCCCATTGTTTCATCCATTACACTAGTACTGTACTTTGTAAGTACAGCTAGTGATAGCTTTTAGAACAAAAATGGGGCCAGTGTTACAGCTTTTAATCTTTTAACTGAATTGACAATAGTGATGGATATTTTTATGCCAAAATGACTAGGGCATAGAAGCAATACCAAAAATCAAGCCTTGAAAAAGTGGGACGGACATCTTTCAATAATTGGCAAAGAAGTTACCAATTTATGCTAGTTTTACCACTAGACTAATGTATTGGTAGAACTTGTGAATCTAAGAAATAAGCTTCATGTGTGTTGCATTTGCCTAACATGGTGAATACACTAATAAAACTTTTAATTCCCATGATGGTTGGGTTTTTATTAATTACTGTCTGTATTTTCTGTTGAAGGTTAGGAGTCATTCCAACTCACCCAAATAAATGGCACAACTGTCCTGCATGTTGTGGCTGGAAAGGTATAGTTTAGATGTTAAAATCACTTCTCATACAGCTGTTGTGCAGGTTCTGGATCTATGTGTGTTTAGCAGTACAGATTTCTACTCTTGATCAAATTTATTAAAGCAGTTGCTTTTTCCTACCACAATCAAATTGCATCCTACTAGCTCAGATGATTACTTTCACCTGTGAAACATATAAGAGCAACTTGTCTGGGTGAAAGACTCCCATCGCATTTATGAGCAGTTTGCAACTTGAATCAGTTGGATGGCTTATTCTGTAGTCCCCTTACTGTGGATTTCTGTATGTGTTCTTTCAGTTACAGCAAAATTACTTGCTTTGCCTTGAATATTGTAATTAATAACCTCGACTGTACCCACCCTTTTTTGGTGGGCACTTCCAAGTAGACAAGGACACCGCAGACATTATCTGTGGACCTGTGGTGCTGCCTGCATGCAAGGCCATCTCAGTCTATGTCGGTAGTTTTTTTTAACTTCTGTTAGTACCACTAAGATATTGTCTCCTGCGATTGCTGTTTCAGCCATAGCTTAGTGGCACAAGGGAATTTATCTGCATTTGAAACATTTGATTGCCTGTATTTAATTTAAATTCTTTTGTCAGTTCTTGAGTAACTTTACCTACTCCTGTTTCTTAATCCAGTGCCTTTCTGACTTATCCCACTGCTGTTCTGCTCTTCAAAATCTGACCAGTGTGAGGAAAGTGAAGGGAGACGATCACATCCTGATTGATGAGCATCGATCTCAGATTTATTGATCCAGCTTACACACTTTTATAGTAGTGTTAATTAAGCTCATACATATTGCAAAACCTGAGCTCATCATTGGTTACAGATTACACACCAACCCCTCCTTTGTTGTCAATACCTGTGGTTTCTTGTTGAGGCTAATACTTGTTTTTCTCATCCTGTTGTTGACTTGTTATTGACCATTCTCAAGGCCTCCATGTTTTCCACCATGTTTTTCTCATCACTTTACTCAAGGACATGGTGTTTATTGTTTTTAAGGAAAAAGTCTGAGAACTTGCTGCTTACAGCTGCCTTTTACTTTTTAACCAGCTGTATGTGCTCATGGCCTTTTCTTATAAGCCATGTCTGAACACAATTCTCCAACACCAGTGCCTGCTCAAGCATCTTAATGCAGAATGCCTGTGGTGCATAAGGAATGTGACTTCATCCCTCTTCTCTTCTGCCAAAGTACTGATATCCGAAGTACATATGAAAAGTGAATTTTTTTTCAGTGAGGCTGTTTTGTAAAATAAAATAGTTACCAAGCCGGAAGTACTCAAATGGAGATGCTTAAAGAATGGGTAGCCATCTGCTTATCTGTATGGTCAAGCTGGAAAAACTGTACATGTACTTCGTACCTTAAGTTTGGACTTTGATTCTGTAACCCTGGGTTCTGATCTCTCTCTTGTCACTAGCCCTGTCTGAGCTTGATTTTCATAGTATCGCCAAAGCCAAGTAATCAAAAATCAGATAGTTTGTGTAAAAAACAGGCCTGAAAATTAATTTTGAGTTGCCTTTTGGCAAGTTGGGCACGCTGAGCTAACATTTAAGTGCCCTTTTCCCTCCAAAGAAAAACCTGATTTCATTTTGATGTTGTTTCAGGGCTGAGGCTTTGAGAACAATGTAAAATGCCTGGATTCTTCTGGTTTTAAATTGTGAGAACTGATAGTAGAACATTTTCTCTGTGTATTTCCCCCTTACTTTAGTGCATGTTTCCTATCTAGGTGGTAAGCTCTCTGCAACATGAATTCTCCGCTGTTACTTAAGCATCTTGCAGAGTACTTTGGCTTTCAGGTGCTGTTATATAATTCTAGAGCAGTGAGAGCTGTGGTGTTTTCCTGCTCTTATTCAGGACATTGTGCTTAATCAGGACTTTTAACCTCCTTGAGACTGATTGCAGGCAAGCAGCATAAATAGTTTAATTTTAGACTACCCGTATAATCAGAACAGAGAGGTAAAGTCTGAATTTGGGGCTCTGAATTGCTCTCTGGTAGAGAACCTAGGCTGTTGGCTGAGGTGCCTGATTTAAATGCATAAAGTAGGAATATCTTCCTATCCTGGTTCTGGCCAAGACAGGGTTAATTTTTGCAGTAGCCAGGAGGGGGCATGGCTAGCACACAGAGGTTATTCTTTACAACCTCATGTCATTTTCTGGGAACAGGGGAAGGGGTCCTTTTGGGGTCATGTAGTGTGGTGGGTGGGTGAGTATTGCCAGGCTCTGTGTGGTGAACAAATCCTGTGTGAATTGTTCACCTCCCTCATACACTTCTGTTATTAATATTGTTGCTATTACTGTTTGTTTCCTTATTTCACTGTTGTTTCCAGTAAATTGTTCTTATCTCAACCTGTGATCTTTACCTTTTGTGCTTCCAATTCTCCTCTCCAGCCTGCCCCAGAGGAAAGGGGGGAGTGAGCGAGCAGTGCATGGTTTCAGTGGGAACACTAAATTGGGGAATATCATTCCTAAACCATGAAAGCCTTATTTGGTGCCCAACTTGGGGCTCAAAGGATTGAGATAACAACAGATCTTACCCGAGTGGGTTGGAACCAAATTTGATCTAAGCATTTGTTGTATTAGGTTCAGAGCCACTGGTCACAATGTTGCTTGGTCTGTTCATGTGGTTGTGGCACCTAACCCTGTATATATTCCCATATATGCAACATGTGCTCCTCATTATGATTTTCAGAACAAGGAGAGGGATCAGGAGTGTTTTGTTGATGTACTGTGTGATATTGGTTTATGACAGAACATCAAAGGCAATGAGGGTCATTTGAGATGTGTCTTCAGTGCTTCCCTTCTGCCTTTACCTTGCATGCTACTACTAGGAGTCCTTTAATAATCATACCCAGCCTGTGGGGGGGGACAGGGGAGGACAGCTTTCCATCTCCTTTTCCTCCTTCAGGCCTGTTACAACAGGTTTTGAGAATTTTGAATTCCTTTTGGGTGTTAAGGAAAGCATGTTCTTGTTGCTATGTTTGCCAGGTCACCTCAGTGAGGTCCATATCATGTTTAGTTACAAGAGATTTTTAGGAGGGTCTTTCAGAGATCTGCCCTGAGGGTGGATAATCATGAATGGCATGGAAGGTGGGAGAAAATCAGCCAGCTTTTGAAGGACTATTCTGCTC